GCTGTGGGTGGTCCATCACTGGAGGTTTTAAGAAGAGATTGGATAACCATTTGTCTGAAGTGGTTTAGAGTTTCAGGCCTAAGCTGGGAGTTGGAAAGATCCCATCAACTCTGTTATTCTATTCTATTCTATTCTATTCTATTCTAATTTGCAGATAATATCCATATGTACATCTCCATCCCAGATGAAGTAAACAGTGTTGTGGGGGCCTGGTTGGGGGACAATGGACTTCAACTGAACCTTGGTAAGATTGAGAATGGTGGCGGGGGGGGGGGAGTTACCATGTTTGGTCTTGGATGGGATAGCACTGCCCCAGACAGACCTGGTCCGTAAAGTGGTGAGTCTTGTGGACTCATGCCTCATGTTCAAGGAGCATGTGGTAGTCATGGCTAGGGGGGAGCCTTTGCTCAACTTTGGGTAGTGCACCAGTTATACCCTTACTAGATTGAGAAACTTTCCTTTCAGTCACTCATGCTCTGGTCCTTCTCCTGGGTGGCGCAGTGGTTAAATGCAGCACTGCAGGCTACTTCAGCTGACTGCAGTTCTGCAGTTCGGCTGTTCAAATCTCACCAGCTCAGGGTTGACTCAGCCTTCCATCCTTCCGAGGTGGGTAAAATGAGGACCCGGATTGTTGTTGGGGGCAATATGCTGACTCTGTAAACCACTTAGAGAGGGCTGAAAGCCCTTTGAAGGGGTATATAAGTCTAACTGCTATTGCTATTGCTACTGCAATGCGCTCTACATGGGGCTATGCTTGAAGAGTATCTGGGAGCTGCAATTGGTGCAGAATACAGTGGAGCAAGGAGTTTTGAGCCCCTCTTGAGTGACGCATGTAACACCTTTCCTACATGAGCTGGACTGGGTGCCAGTTCTCTTCTAGATCCAATCAATGGCATGGCACTAGGATACCTGAAGAACATCAATCCATCCCAACCCAGTCAACCAGGGAGAGCATGCTGCATATCCCCATCAGTCAAAGAATTTCAACTGACAGAATCTAGGAGAAGGGCCTGCTCAGTTGCTGCCCCCAACAGGGGTGGGTACCAGCTGCTGCTACTGCCAGTTCACTTAGAGATGTGCTGTGCGTACATACTTGCTTCGCATGCACACATGCGCAGTACTTAAAAATGTTTCTGCGCATGCACAGAAGCAAAAAACAAGATGGTGGCACCTGTGACAGCGCCGAGGGAACCAGTCAGGGGCGTGGCAGCCAGGTTACTTACCTACTCGGCCAAACCAGTCCGAACAAGTAGGAACTCACCTCCGCCCCCCCACCCTTTGGAACATCTTACCCCCAAAGGTGAGATGAGCCCCCGGCTCTTCTAGTTTTCCAGAAGGTCCTAACAGTATAATGCAGGCCTGGGGATGACCTGGTGGTTTGAGGACCAGATTCTCACTGCCTTGCTGACCTCTAAGCCTTCTGAATTTTTAACTTTGATTTTTATTTTTTCTTTAGGTTTTAACTTGTTCTTCATTCTGTTTTTAATCTATGCTTAAATTCATGTGTTTTTATACAATAGCAGAGTTGGAAGGGACCTTGGAGGTCTTCTAGTCCAACCCCCTGCCTAGGCAGGAGACCCTATACCATTTCAGACAAATGGTGATCCAACATCTTCTTAAAGACTTCCAGTGTTGGGGCATTCACAACTTCTGGATGCAAGCTATTCCACTGATTAATTGTTCTGTCAGGAAATTTCTCCTCAGTTCTAAGTTGCTTCTCTCCTTAATTAGTTTCCACC